CCACTCATCACCCTCCATCTACCCACCATCTCCCTCAACCACTCTTCAACACCCGTCATTACCCCGTGCACCCACAGTCGCCCTCCCGTGTGCCCCTCACCAATGGCCCGGTACACGGAGATGAAGACCAGTGTGAGGAGCACAAAGGCCGTGTTCCAGGTCCAGATAAGCGGGTCCACGGCGGAGATGCCCAGGAACATGAAGATGATAGTCTCAGCCCCGCTGGCCAGCATCTTCATGGTGTAGCGCACCGTGGTGGCCGACTGCTCGGAGATGTTGGCCTTCACATACTTCTGGCAGCAGATGCCACAGAACGTGATCCTGGGTAGCAGGAGGTGACGTGGAGCGTGTGAGGTTGCGCCCAGGGCACAGCTGGCTTGGGCAGAGGCATCACAGACACTGCTTATCCCGGAGAGATGTCCTTCCTCTTTGGGGTCAGCCACCTTGTGACTTTAGCTCTCTGGCTCAAGGCCACACAGCCTGCTTCCGGCTAACAGTCCTCAGGGACCGCCTCCAGCCAGCGCAGCCCTGGGTGCACAGTGCTGTGTCCCCACAGCAGGGCAACCACTGATGCCAGTGCTGGGCCCTCCTACAGAGCGGGGGCTGTTCCAAGCTCGGCCCTGAAGGGAGGGGTCCCTGGGTAGACTTGGGCCTCCGGTTCCCAGCAAGATAGATAGGGACACCAGCAGCCCCGTCTCAAAGGCTGGGGCAGATGGTGCTGCAATGGGCTTTCCTGGAGTTACTCTGCCTCCAGGAACCAGCCCTGACATCGCTGGCAGGCAGGGCTGGGACAAGGTCAGCATCTCCCATGTGTGCCAGCCACCATCCTCGAGCAGGTTCCCATTCATGGAGGGCCTGAGAGCGTCTGTGTCTAAGGGAGCGGGCAGGCTCATCTGCCTCCCACGCAGCAGCTGGTGGGTCCGAACCCTCAACCCTGCCGTGTGCAACCCATGCTTACCTCACAGTGCTAATGGGGTCCCCGAGCCTACAAACACCCCTGTGATCCACGCGCTCGCCAACCGCAGGGAAGTGGGTGGCTGGCCCGCACAGGCCCAGCCCCTGCCTGGCCTCACTCCCTGCCCCAGAGGGCTCTGTGCCTCGGGAGAGCCGCCCCCCCTCCCCAACAAGGGCTGGCTGGGCTTGGGCACTTACGCCAGGATGGCCGACAGGGACAGCATCTCGGAGGTGAGGTAGGAGAGGTAGGAGATGACGAAGACGAAGCCAGGCTCGATGATACGTACGTGCTTCGTGAAGCGTGTCACCAGGGACAGCAGGAAGGCGAAGAGGACGCCCACCAGCGTGCCCCCCAGGCTCACCACGAAGAAGGACACTGCTCAGGGACAGGCGTGGTGTCAGCCCATGGGCCTTCCCTCCCAGAGCCGATTGCCCCGCTTGCCTGTCCTGGGGGACGGAGCCATGGGTGTGTCTGGGAGCCAAGACCTGCCTCTGGGGGTGGCCCCGTGGGGCACAGCGAGGCCCACCCTCATCTGCCAAACAGGGAACAGCCTTGCCCCGGTGTGGCTGGACCCAGTGGGGCGGGGTGGGGACTGAGGCGGGGACTTGGATCTGCCCACCTCTGCCCACCGGCTACGCACCTATCCCCTTCACACAGTCCACGCCTGTCACCTTGTCACCGCCCAGCGTCACAAAGGATTCAAACACGTTGTACAGGACCTGAGGGGAGAGGAGGCCAGAGGAGATGTCTGGTCACCTTGGTCCACGCCTGTCCCTCGTGGTGACCAGGGAAGGGATGGAAGAGTCAAAGCAGGCGAGTCCCCTGGGAACAGGAAGCTGCTGGGAGGAAAGCACGTTGGGGCAGTAACAGTCTGCACAGTGAAGGCGGGGAACGTTCCGAAGGAATGGGAACCTTCCAGAGGAAACTAGCCGGCTGCTGCCCCAGTGAGCAAGGCGGGCACCAAGCTGACCCGGTTCTTGCCACCCTTGGTCACTGGACTACTCTCCTTCTCAAAGGCCTTGCTTTGCCAACTGGACTGGACTCGGGGTTGGCCCCTTTCTGGGGCAAATGGAGCCGCTTTCTGAGGGGACTTCTGCTGTCAGTGCTGAACCGCCCCCACTCTCTTCCCAAGGCTTAAAAGACAGACTGCCTGGGTTTGGGGAGCAGGGCGGTGGGGAGTCTAGGCCAGCTGCCAAGCCCGGGTCCCAGGGGCCACAGGCCAGCTGGCCTGGCACAGGCCGGAGCCTCATTCAGGAAACAGGGAGGATGGCTGAGGAGGCCCACGAAACCCACCCATGATCAGGCACCCCCTGCAGTGTGCACCTGAAGGGGCCTCACAGAGTCCTCAGCCCCCTGAGAGGGTGAAATCACCCACCAGATAAAGGCAGAACTCAGGGTGGGGGCCCTGGTGTCACATCCTAATGACTCCCTCAGCCCTTCTACGCTCCTGAACGCTAAAGGGGGCGTCAGTCCTTGGACCTGAGGGTCCAGGGGCAAGTGGTTAACACGTTCGGCTGCTAACCACAAGGTTATTGGTTCAAGTCCACCTAGAGGGGCCTCAGAAGATAGGCCCAAACCAGCCCAGTGGGGCCCAACTCAACTCCCGCATTGAGCGTCTCCCATCAGTGACCTGCAGAGAGAGGCCAGCTGACCCCTAGGGTGCCACGTGTGCAGGAGTAGACAGCCTCATCTTTCTCCTACAGAGCGGCTGGTGGGTGGAGCTGCCCACCTGGTGGTCAGCAGCGAGCTCTGCCCTGAGCTGCCCCACAGGCCCTTGCAGGTGGTGCCATAGCGTCAGATTCCCAGGGAGACTGGAGACTAGAGGCGAACCTTGGCGACTCTGGCCATGAGGAGAAGCGATGACCCCGTGTGGAAGGGGAGGCCTGCCACACTGGTGCGGCGCCGACCCCAGGGCGGGTCACTCACCACAGTGACGGCGTCGTTGAGCAGCGACTCCCCAAAGACGATGATGAAGAGCACCTCGTTGACATGCACCTCCTCAAACACGGCCAGCACGGCCACGGGGTCCACGGCCGCGATCAGGCTACCAAACAGCAGGAAGTCTAGCAGGCCGATCTGCAGGTCCCCTGGGGCACAGACAGGCCTTCAGGGTGGCAGCTGATCCCTGCTGGCCGGGGCCTGGTGCCTGCACCCATCCTACTCGCCCACAGTTCCAGAAAGGTCCAAACTGTCCACCAAGACCACCCCCAGGGAAGACCCTCTGACTCTGAGCTAGGCTACCTCTGCTCCTTGCCCCACGGCCCCCTGCTGCTGATCGAGGTGGGGCAGGGAATGGGAGGGCAGTGTAGCCCCAGGGTTTGTGCTGGGCCTGAGCTGGGCCCATCAGCCCATGTGGTGAGCCAGCCACTGTCTGCAGACGGGCCGGGACCTGGCCAGGCATGTGGCCCTGGCTCACCCGCCCCGCCCTCGGGTGCAGGGACAGCTCCGGCATCAGGTGCTGGCTGACTTGGGGAGCACGCGTGGTCCCTTTGGCCGAGGACGAAGTCCCAAGTGACGACTCTCCCGGCCGGGACTTTGGTCCCCTCTCCTCAGGCTGAGAGCCCCGGGTCTATGTCTACGTGCAGGGCAGGGCAGGGAGGGAGGTGGGAGTCTGTAGCTGTGAGGTGAGGGCCGGCACGTACAGGAGGTGCTGGGGTGCTGGGGAGACTGCACCCTGCTCCCGCCGAGGAGGGCAGACAAGGAGGTGACCGATGGGGACAGGGCAGTCCATCTGCTGTAGCTCCCTGGGCATCCTGTGTCCACAGGGGCCCCTCCTCCTCTCCCTGGGGACCTGGAGCACCATCGGTGTTGGGGAGGGGACACAGTGGGGTCGTACCTCTCTGGGGCTCAAAGGACAGCTGCTGTAGTCAGGCCAGCCCCTGACCCCCACCCCTAGAGATGCACATATAGCAGCCTTGGTGCCTAAGGCCATTGTGGACTCAGCTCAGACGCCCAGGAGAGACCGCCATTGACAGTGACCCTCACCTTCCCAGCCTTGATCTTGTGTCTTCTCTTCGACCCACCTGTCCCCCGGCCCTCCCCCACTCAGTTTGTGGTCCCGCCCAACACCCCTCCCCCCACACCCCTCCCCCACCGCTCCCTCTGCCTGTGGTGACCCCAGCCCTAGCCCCTCACCCATCAGCCCGCTGAGGAAGACCCCGTAGAGGGACAGGCCCGTGGTGGCGGCGTTCCACACGGTGCCGATGACGGCGTAGAGCAGGATGGTGCCCAGGTTGCCGAAGAAGAGGCGGTTGGGCATGAAGTAGCCTGCGTCCAGCACGATGGGGGGCAGCAGGTAGAAGAAGAAGACGGTGGGCGTGAGCGTGAAGGAGGCGATGTGGTCGGCCGCCCAGACGATGCCGCCCAGCACCAGACCCAGCACGATGAGCAGCGCACTCTCGGGGACCACGCTGGTGACCTTGTGCGACAGGTGGAACGCTGCGGGGGAGGTGTGGGGTTGAGGCATGAGGGAAGCTCCGCCCACAGCCCGTCCGTGACCACGCCCACACCCGCAGCCCTGCCCACAGCCCCGCCTCCCACACCCCACCTCTGCCCACAGCCCGGGTCCGTGACCACGCCCCCATCCACACTTCAGCCCACAGGCTCCCCCTCCCACATTGGCGACCTTGTGCGACGGGTGGAATACCTGGAGGGCACGGCTGGGCGTGGGCAGTACCCTTCTCCACTGCCCTCATGGAGACTATCCCTGCGTGGTGACTTTGATTGACAGGTGGAACATGGGGTGGGGTGTCAGGGGGCTGGGTTTGAGTGAGGCCCAACCCACAGCCCCTCAGGGCCAGGACGCATCCGGTCCTGCCGTGGGACTCCCATCACCTTTGGGCTCGGGCTTTGGAGGCACGCTGTGGCAGGGATAGCCACGGCATGTGTGGTCACCAACAGCACCGTCTGCTCTCCCACCGAGCCACTTTGGGGGGCAGAGAGGTGAGTGGGATTCCCGGGAAGGGTTGGGGCTGGGGTCCTCTGTCCACAGCCGGCCCTGCCCTGAGAGCAGGAAGCCCCACTACGTTCATCCCCAGGTTTCAGGGCAGAGAGTGGCAGCCAGCTGGGGCCTCCCAGAGCAGACTTTGGAGGGACCCCACAGCCCCAGGGTGCCCTCGTCTGGGTCCCCGGCAGGGGTCTCCATCAGCTCTGTAAGAACTGGCCTTCCTTCCCCAGGTTCTCCCACCAAGGGGGACAACAGCCCCTGCCTCCCCAGGCAATGCCCCTGCTCGCTGGGTCCCCTATCAATCATCAGCCCCTAGGACTGAGAGGGTCCCAGCTGGGCCCTCCCCGCCTTGAGCGGGGCTGGAAGGCAAATGACCCCTTTGTCTGAGTTTTCAACTCAGGACATAGGACCAGGAGTGGACTGCACACGAGGCCATCCGGGGATGAGTTCACACTTTCAGTCTGCAGAAGCCCTTACTGAAAAACCTGGACATTCAAAGGCGAGTAACCTCCCGGGCAGCTCTCCTAAGGTCAGATGACTTGACTCTCTGGAGCCTTTGGGAGTGGAGGCCCATGCTGCCCTTGCACGAGAGGACCTGTTCCCGTGAGCCTCACCTCCCACCAGCGCAGGCCTGGCCTGGCTCAGAGTGTGTGAGTGAGCATGGAGCTGCCTGCTTCCCATGACCTCGCAGGGTTCCCCTCTTCCCAGCCTAACCAGGTCAGCCCCACCCACCCGACTGAGTCCTCACCCCTAATTATGGGGTCTGGCACCAGGGAGAGAAGGGACCTTACCCTCTTGGCTGATTCTCTTCTGTGGACTATCATGCACCCTGTCCCCCAAGCCCGCTGGCTTTGTCTCTCAGGGGGCCCTACCCAGGTGGAGGTCACTGAGCTGGAGTGGCCCTCGGCCACATGGTCAAGGTGACTCCCACAGGCGTGAAGCTCCACCCTCAAGGGCATGGGGGGGGGGCATTTCTCAGCTCCCCACCCAGGAGGGGGTCAGTGAGTGGGCCAGTCCTCAAGGAAGCAGCTCCCCCCAAAGCCCACCCACAGGGTTTCAGGGGTGCCTGTCCTACTCTGGCATCTCAGTCCCATGGCCTCTCCCTGCAGGGCCCTGGAAGTCAGAGTGGTGCAGGGGTTGGGGGGCAGGGGGTGGTCGGTGGTTGGGAGGGACGCACCCTTGGGGTCCTGGGTTGGCAGACAAGTCTTCAGGAGGGCTGCAGGGAGGGTCTTGAGGTCCCTAGGGGCCGCCCCACCACTGCCCTGTCCTTACTGAGCTCTGCGGAGAGCTGGAAGCTCCTGCAGTCTGGGGCCCCTGGGCCTTTCCTAACTGTCCTGGGCTGGAGCCTGGAGGTGATTGGCAGTTCATCTCATCAGCCCCAGGAGGGAGGTTGGAGCGGGGACACAACAGGGGGTAGGGGGCCACACATCCTCAGAGGGTCCATCGGCCAGGGAAGTGCTGTTCTAGTGGCCAGCAGCACCCTAGTTCACCTGCACTCACACTGCAGGGCTCAGGGGTTGGGAGGGCTCATGGCGCCCCCAGTCCTGGTCCCAGAACAAGCTCCAGCTGTCCTTCCAGAACTTCCCTCGGGTCAGACGGGGCATGGGCAGGGACTCTGCTCCTCTCTCTGGAGGTTCCTGTGACCTGAGGCCGAGATGCCTGGCAGCCGTGGGAGGTGCCACCATGATGTCCCCACATGGGTGGCGGTTACCTAGCTGCTCTGGCCCAGTGACTAATGCAGCTCAGGGGTGTGGCGCCCCGGGGAAGGGCTGGCCCAGGAGAACGTGGCCTGCCGGTTCCCAAGCCCTCAGCCTGTGAGGTTCCGGCTGCCTTCAGAGGTGCTGGTGCAGGGAGACACTGGAGGGTGCAAAGGCTTGTGTACCCTTGCTGGGACCTCCCAGGCTCCGGAGAGGCGATGGTGGGGTAAGGAAGGGGGAGGCCCCACCTTGATCTGTTCCACACAAGGCTGAGGGTGATGGGGCCACTGCAGTCTCAAAAAACCCCTCCCCATCAGCTCCAAGGGCCCCGTGTGGTCTGGGGAGCCGCACGCAGGACACCACCCCCTGGATCTCAGAGCTTTGGGCAGAGGCTGGTCTCCTGCATCAGAGGATCACCTGGGGCATGATGGGAGAATCCCTGTGGGCCCAGATGGCTGCTCCCAGGGCATGATGGGAGAATCCCTGTGGGCCCAGATGGCTGCTCCCAGGGCATGATGGGAGAATCCCTGTAGGCCTAGACAGCTATACCAGTGAAGGGAGAATCCCCATAGGCCCAGATGGCTGCTCCCAGTGCATGATGGGAGAATCCTGGCAAGCCCCAGCAGGTCCTGGCTGAGTCACCCGGCTGTGCCATCCTTTCTGTGCTCACGGGGTCACCACACCCGCCAGTCGTGTGAAGGACCTGCTGTGGGACACGCCCATATCTCCAGCCAACCACAGGCCTTTTGCCATTGTGGACCACAACAATCTTCAGAAGGTGCCCACGCCCTCATGTCAGCTGCTCGAAGCCCCCCAGCTTCTCAGAAGCAGGAGGTGCCCCTTCCCCCTCAGGTGGAATCCTCCCTTCCTTTGTCCTTTTCTCGTCTTCCCTAGTGGCCTAAACGCCTTTCTTGGTACCAAGGAGCTCTGATTAGGACCAGCTTGGAAATGCACGTCCTTGCTCTTTAGGAGGAAGCACTGCCTCCCGTTCCTCTGCGGGTCTCCAGGTAGGCTGTGACACCCACACGCCGTGAGTGCCTCGGGTCGGCTCTGACTGAGTGACCAGTGGAACATGGCCACAGTGGAGCCCCGCCCCCTCCTCGCCATTGTCACTGAGTGGGGGACCATGGTCGCAGCCATGGTGTCAGCCCACCCCCTGAGGGCCTTCCTCTTCCTTGACGCCCCTCCACTTTACCAAGCATGATGCCCTTCTCCAGGCACCGGCCCCTCCTGCCAACACGTCTGAAGTACATGAGATGAAAGCCCACCATTCTGGCTTCTGTCCACACCGTCCTTCAGCGGCAGCTTGGGTCAGTGCAACAAGTCCTCAGAGTGATGCTGCTGCCCTTCAACCTTTGAAACAGGTCCTTTGCAGCAGAATGGCGCAATGCAAGGAGTCCACTCATTTCTTGATCGATGCTCCCATGCACTGGAGCCTTGGTGGCACAGAGGGTACGTGTCAGACTGCTAACCACAAGGTCTCTAGTTTGAAACCACCGGCTGCTCTGCATGAGAAAGAGGGGGACTTCTACTGCCATAAAGAGCCATGGTCTCGGAAACCCACAGGGCAGTTCTGTGCTGTTCCTAGAGGCCAGCTGTGAGCTGGCCTCCACTCGATGGCAGTGAGATCGGGTTCTTTATGGTTTGCATCCGTGAGCACTTTATACCAAGCGAACTGAGAGCCCTGCTCGGACCTGTCTTTTCTCCCCTCACTGTGATGCTGTCTGCTGGGCCCATTGGGAAGACCCCGGGTGGATGCTCGCTGCCCTCTCGGACCTGGTGAAGACCTGGTTTCCAACCCACTTCCCGTATGCTTCTGTCTCTGCTTCAGGGTCACATGCCTGGGCACAGGAGTGGAGGAACATGCTTCTACAAGAAAGCATCCAGGTGGCGTGGGAGGCTCGTGACCCCTCGGTACCCATGGGCCTGTGGGCCTCTTGGAGGATGATGTTCAGTGATTGAAAGAGATGACCTGTCCCCAGGAGCTGGTCAGCAGGTGCCCAGGCCAGCCTCAGGCAGCATGCTGGTGAATTCTGAAAATGCCCTGACTCCAGCGAGGAGACGGCGGCCTTTTGGAGCAGGACAATGTCCAGCGAGGAGACGGGCGGCCTTTTGGAGCAGGACGATGTGCTCAGGTCGTTTCAGCCTTTCATCTGCAAGCTCTTCAGAAGCCAGAGGGGAGGCCTCTGGCTATGACCAGGTCACCAGGCAGCCATGCTGGCCACTTGGGGGCCTGAGCCCGCGCCAGCAGGGCAGGGAGGCGGGCCAGAAACAAGCTTATCTTCAACATCCCCGCAACAAAACTTTGCACTTTAGAAATGCAAAGCACTCTTGGCCGCTATCAGCCTGAGCCTGGCCGCATTCCTGGAGGACCGCTGGTTACTGTACAAACTTATTAATTTGGAAACGGGGTGGGCAAGAGACGGCCTGCCTTCGGACCCTTCGGACGCTTGATCTGGAGCGTCATGAGCCCCTGACCCTGAAGGGATGGCCCGGGGAGGCGTCGACAAAGACCGCCCATGAATCGTTGAGGGTAAAGCTGATGGGTGGGCTCTGTCAACCTTCACCTAGCTCACACGGTTACAAGTGGAGGAGGAGGAGGGAACTCTGAAAATTCACAGGAGTAAAGAATTTGGACTGTGGACTTGGCGATGAAACAAGAGGGTAGATTTTCTGATAGCTATTCTGTTAGGTGATTTCCAAGGGATGCCTGTGTGGCCTACAACATCTTTTCTGTCTTGCCAGAGAAAAGGAGAGAGACCGGAATGGAGAAGGGGGCTTCTAACCACCACCAA